CTTTGTCTCCGGTGTTGTCCACTGTAGGGCTATGGGTCAGTGAGGGACATCATGTCTCATAGTGGGGCCGGCCATGTGGTCCTCTCTGTGGACTGGCTGCTCTAATTGGGAACATCGTTCTCCAGGCCTGGTGGGCCAGGATGTGCTCCACTCTCTCCTCCTCCCCCTTCATCTGCTTCCATGTGCTCCGTTCAGATATGTCCCTCTCCCAGAGCTGAAGATTCAATGCTGTCCTTTGAAATAAATTCTTCTGGGGGGAGGGGCAAGTGTCCACATAGTAGTTGGGATTGGGGCCAGCCCCTAGTTTCCTCAGTTTCAACCTGGACTTGAATATAAGCAATTCACAGTCTGTTAAACAGTAAACCTCTGGTCTTGTTTTGACTGATGATATTGAACTTCTCCATATGTAGTCAATTTTATTGTGGTCAGTTTTATACCTGTGTATTCCATCTGGGGAGGTCCTTCTGTATAGTCACCATTTATGTTGTTGAAAAATGGTATTTTCAATTTACAAGTCTTTAGTCTTGCAAAATTCTATCATGTCATCTCCAGATTCATTTCTATCACCAAGGTCATATTTTCCTTGGTGATAGAAATGAAGCCATAGGCTGATCCTTCCTGATTGTTTCCAACTTTCCCATTGCAGTTGTCAATAATTATCAATGCATCTTGATTGCATGTTTGCTCAATTTCAGACTGAAGAGGTTCATAGAATGATTTAATCTCTTCACCATTTGCTTTAGTGGTTGATGTATAACATTCAATAATAGTTGTATTAACTGTTTTTTTTTATTTTGCCCCCCACCAACTGTTCTTACAGGTGTTTAGCTATGATCCCATCACAGATAGCATTGTACTGCAAGATAGCGCTTGCTTTTTTCTTTTACAATAAGTGCAATGCCACTCCTCTTGAATTTATCATTCCCAGCATAGTAAACCACAAGATTATCAGATTCAAAATGGCCAATACAGTTTATTTCAATTGACTAATAATGCCTAGTATATTGTTATGCATTTCAATTTCATTTTTGACAATTTCCCACTTTCTAGATGCATACTTTGTTCATTCCATGTTGTAGTTATTAATGGATATTTTCAGCTATCCTCATGTTGAGTGGTTCTTCTCAGCTGGTGGGAGTTCTCAAAGTTTTGCTCCATTTGATTCATCAAAATCAGCTCTATGCGGAGGGGCAGCCCTTCCCCAGCCATCGTGGGGGTGCCTTCCCACCTGAGGAGCTCATGTTTGGCACTACGTCAGACCACGCTGTGCAGCTATTCATTAAGGCGCTCAGTGGCTAATCTCTCGGAAGTGGACAGCCTATTCCTTCTTCACTCTGCTCTTTGTCTGGAGTGGCTGCTGATGTCTCATTTACCAGGATGACCCTGATGGTGTTTGAAATGCCAGTGCCGTAGCTCCCAGCGTCAGAGCAACAGGCAAGGCGCCACAGACAAATGACACAAACTGACAAAGGGAGATAATTACAAATGATAATAATTCTGTGACTTATGAAATATCCATATGCTGTACATTTCTCGGCGTCGCTTGCAGTTGGGCTGGGACCATGTGACTAGTTTTGACTAATGACCTGTCAGCAGAAGTGATGTATGATTCCCATGGCCAACCGATGCCCATGTGTCCCTTTTCCACTACCACAGTGAGCTGGGAGTCCAACTTCTAGAAGTATAGCTAGTGAAGGCGTGCCTCCTAACCGCCCTACCCCATCAGCCTATGTATAGATGGGAAAGCCAGGACTTGCGGGGTATCTGCTTCTCCACCTTGGAGTGAGGCACGTCCACTAACAAAACCTAAGTTGTGCAGAATAGAAACTCTAACTCACTGCCATCTAGTTGATGCTGATTCATAGCCACCCTAAAGGACAGGGTAGCACTGCCCCTGTGGGCTTCTGAGACTATTTAGTCTTTCCCCCACAGAACTACTGGTGGCACCCTAATGTGTAACACTGCCACAATGATGAAGTTACCCTCCCTTGGCCCCAAACTCTCAGTTCTATGCTCCTGTCCCTGGTGCAGCCTGGCCAGCTGCTTGCTCCCTGTTGAGATCTGCTTAAAAGGGGCACTCCAGGAACCTGCCAGGGAGAGGAGACAGTTCTTGTCTAACCTATTTCTGTTTCTGGGTCACTTTAACCGTGCCTCCTGGCCACAGCAGCAGATGAAAATCTGCATAGCATTTCTCTTATACATGGGCAGCCAGCTCTGGAATGGCCTGCAAGACCTGGAGAGCAGCCCAGAGGGGCAGGGAAATTGGACCCCAAAGATGAGAAGGGCAAATCTGGAAGCCGAGTGCATGCATGGTCACAAGATGCCACTTGGGTATGGAGGTCAGACACACACCCAAGACCTGACACCCCTCTGTCAGCTCCCCACCTCCAAGACCCAAGAAACAGTCCCCCAAAGAGAAGTGAGGGAAAGCCTGCCTACACTGCAAAATGCAATTAATTAATCCAAACCCACTGCCATCGAGTCTGTAAGACAGCAGGCCTGCCACGTGGGTTTCCGGGACGGCAGTGGGGGGTCTGCTTAACCCGCCGCACCACCAGAGGCCGCTAAAGAATCTTCAAAAATTGGTGGGAATGAGCGTCTGGTGGGTATTGATACAGCAGTCTACAATAAAGATTAAATTCAGTGATGAAAGTTGGTTAAAAGGTTGCCGGGAGGTGGACCCAATCCAGAGGTCGGGGTCCTAGGAATGCCCTCCGCGGCCTCAGTCGTTCAGGAACTGCTCAGTGCCCGCAGGTCACGTCCCGGCCTCCGAGGCCGCGCCCCACGCCTGCCCATCCCTCTCTCGCAGCCTCGGGGTCCAACACCCCCCTCCCGGAAGTCCCTCCTACGGGACGCGGGACGCTCTGGTCCGTGAGAACCCCTCTCGCTGGTGAATCGGACGCGCGGCGCCGCGCGGTGTGGTATGTTGTTCCTCCGGCCGGCAGGCGGCGCGCGAGGCGGCTGTAGGGCCGCTCTGGCCCGTGGCGCCGCTCCACTGCTAGGAGGCCGAGCGTTCGGTCGCGCGCCCTTCCTTCGCCTCCGCGGCGCGCGTTCCCCTGGCAACGCGCCGCCGCTGCCGCCGCAGCTATGGACGCGCCGGCCGGCGCCGAGCCTCGTCGTGCGGGCTGTAGCCTCGGTCCGCCAACCCGCGAGCCGGACCCCACGGTCGTCCCTCCATCCTCCAGCCGCGCGGTGCGCAAGCCGGCGCCGCCCTGGGCGCGCTTCTCGGCCTGGCTGGAGTGCGTGTGCGTGGTCACCTTCGACCTGGAGCTGGGCCAGGCGTTGGAGGTGAGCGGGAGGGCGGGCGGGCGCGCGGGCCGGGCCCGGGCCGCCCGGGGCAGGACAGCCGCCAACGCTCACGCTCGGAGGGCCGCCCGTGCCTGCCACTTGCCCTTGGAAGGACTCGGGTCCTGGAGCGCAGGGCCGCTGCCACCGTGCTAGGACCGGGCTCCCGTGGTCACGTTGTCAGAAGAGGGGCTCCACGCCCGGAGGAGCTTCTTCCCCAGAAAAGAACCGCCACCCGCCCTCCCCAGTCAGGAGAGACCCTCAGCGGAGGCCCTAGACCCCTCCTTCCCTCCATCCTACTCCCATGGGGCAAGGCTGGCCGCTCCACCTGCACCAGGGACAGTTCTGCTACCACCTCACCTCTAGCCCCTCCCTGGCTGCTGTCACGTCCCCACAGCCCCGCCTCTGCCCCTCCCGCGACTGGGCCTCCGCCCACCGAGCTCAGCTGCCCAGGCTCTGGTCTAGTACATCCAGTTGCAGAGGCTTCGCCCGCCCCATGGGTGTGCCCTGTGTGGCCTGGTTTCCAGCCTACTCTGCTTGCAAGGCTGAGCCCACTCCCAGCACACATGGTCAGGGGGCTTCCTTCAGGTGCAGATGAAAACAATACAGACCCCTCAGGGACTCCACCCACCATCTCGGTTGCTTCATGGTGGTGTTCTGTGCTCACTCCTCCTTGTCTTGTCAAACAGAACTTTCTGGAAGTCCAAGAGGTACTGAGTGTCCACTACTGGGTTGTCCAAGGTGAGGCTCCAGGGTTGCCCGCAGGACAGTTGCCTGGTGTCCGTTGCTGGAGCACACAGACCCCTTGTGTTCCGTTTAGCTCTGGGGGACTTTGAGGCAGCAGTAGCAGCCCTAGGCAGGGACTGCTGCACTTGACCTTGTGCCCAGTGGAAACTGCCTCACTCTCCTCCCCAAGAAGGCACCCCACAGCTCCGAGGGGCTAAACAGTCCGCTCGCAGAGTTCCCTCCTCTCTGCGCTGTGCTGCCAGCTTGTTCCCTGGGAAACCGCCGGGAGCTGTGAGAAATGCCACCTTTCCCTGGTGGACTCTGTGCATCGCCTGCCCCTGGGGTCTTTCCCCAGCGCACAGCATGGGCTGTGTCAGGGACCTAGGGAAGCCTCAGACAGGCAAGAGTTGGCAGTGGAATTGTCCTTCCCACCTCAGTGCCCTCCAGGGCGTCAGAGAGTTGTCTCACGCTCCCTTATTCTTGGCTCAGCACCACCACCGCCCAGCTGGGTGCTGGCCAGCCTCCCAGCCACTTGAGCCACTAGACCAACATGTCCCAATGGACGAATGGGCATCAGAAGCAGTGCCCAGAGGAATGGGGTCTGGCTCCATCTGGGCAAGGGAGTAGGGGCTATTTCAGGTAATGGCCTCTCCCAAAACAGCCCTTGAGAAGCAGTCAGGAGCTGTCCACTTGCTGATTCCCTCCGTATCTCACGCACACACATTCATTCATTCATTCATTCATTCAAGCACTGAGCAGCTGTCCCAGCCAGGCCTGGGACACCAGCCTGGCGCCAGCTCAGAGTCCATGGAGCTGTAGAACCCTGAGGCCCGTGCTTGAGATGCCAGGCTAAGAGGGGCCAGGGAGATGAAGGGCTCGGAGTGGATGGCTGGGGCTGGCGAGCAGCTAGTAAAGTAGCCCTCCTGTTGCTCCCACTGACCCTGGCAGCCCTGGAGTGACCATTGGCCCGAGTCTTGTCTGTATCGGCACCAGCAGTTCACCAGCACCTGGGCCTCAGGTCCTTTTACAGACCTAAAGGGAGCATGCCCCTTGTGTCTTCTCACATTGACCATCTTAAAAATGAAAGAGATGTTTAACAAAAGCAAAACAAAACAAGAATAAACACCTGTTTGAACTTAGCACATTTTAGTGAAAACACCTGTCTTTTCCAAAAGGAAACAGTTTGGCGAGAAGAGTGGCATTGCTTGGATCTGGTGGCTGGGCAGACCCCCACTCCCGGCAGCCAAACTGTGCTCCTGAGGGGTCAGTGGTTGGATTCTCAGAAGTTGTGGGGCCAGGCTGCCCTACTTCCCAGACTCCTTCAACAGGGCTTGTACCACCAACCTGGTTAACCAGGGAGCACCCAGGGCTTGCTAAGCCCAGTATAGCCACCCCTCTGAATGTCTGCCTGATGTCTGGCCAGCTGGGTCTGCCTGCTGGCCTCAGCATCAATCCGTCCACAATGACAGTCACCAACAGGGCCCTTCTCACCACTGGAAGCCCTGCGCGCTTGTCAGAGCTGGCAGTCGTCCTGCATTTGAGGGGCCCTGAGTTCTGGGGGTGCCCTGCATACCTGAGCATGCCTTGAAGGGTGGCAGCTTCTGGGCAAGAAGCTTTTTGTTAGGTGGTAATGCTACCCCACCTGCAGGCATGCCAGCGGTTGTCTCTCTGGTCTCAGCCCCAGAGGGCTCCAGACCCTGCTCAGGAAGCCAGGGCACCACCTGCCCGCACTCCCACCTGGCCCTGGTACTCAACCCCTTTCGGTGTGGACACAGGTGGTCCCATGGCCCCTGCCACCTGCCTCTTCTGTTGACTCCCTTCTCGTTTTTTGCAACCCCTTTCGGCTTCCCATTGACCTGCATCGCCTGGTCCTGTTTCTCCCAGAAAGGAGTTTCCACCTGCTGTGCTCTGTGGCAAATGCCTGAGTTGAGGGCCTGTCCTCAGTAAGCAGAGATCACAGAAGGGACAAAGCCAGGCCACCGCACAGCAGATGCATGACCTACCATGACAGCACCTCATCTGTCAGGAGATTCAGGCAGAATCAGAAGAACCCCAAAGCCTGAGGGTGACAGGAACCTTTGGGCCTCGCCCTCTCCCCTCAGGCTCCTTCCCTCCCTTGTCTCCTCCCATGACTTGCCTCTCAGCTTGTCCTACTGTGGTGACTTGGGTGTTGCTGTGATGCAGGAAGCTATGTCTGGTGCCTTCTTTTCTTTTTTTTTCTTCAAAGTTATGTATTTACATTTTTTTACAAAACAACCTTATCACCTTCAAAGTGCTCTCCATTACATGTAATACACTTGTAAAATCTGCAATTTCATTCTTTTAAAAAAATCATTTTATCGGTAGCTCGTACAACTCTTATCACAATCCATACATCGATCCATTGTGTCAAGTACATTTGTACATTTGTTGCCATCATCATTCACAAAACATTTGCTTTCTACTTGAGCCCCTGGTATCAGCTCTTCATTTTTCCCCCTCCCTCCCCGCTCACCCTTCCTCATGAACCCTTGATAATTTGTAAATTATTATTATTTTGTCATGTCTTACACTGTCCGACATCTCCCTTCACCCACTTTTCTGTTGTCTGTCCTGGTGCTTTCAAATACCATCAAGGTCACCCACCGTGAGCAGGTGTCAGCACAGCTGACTAGACTGTCGCTTCTGAGGCATTAGCCACTGACAGACAGCCTTATGCAGAGTAGAACATTGTCAGGTACTGAAAACCTCGTGAGTAGCAGCAGGGCATTGTCAGAGGTGGTGGTGGAAGAGGAGCGCCTCTGTTTGGAAGGCACTGAGGAAGAGCTGCCTTCTCAAAGCAGAGTCGACCATAATGACGGGGAGTAAAGCCTCGGGACCTGCATTTGCTGGTGGGGCACAGCTCAAAACGAGAGACAGCTGCAAACATCTATCAGCAATTGGAACTAGGAATGCACAGAGCATGAATCTATGAAAATTGGAGTCATGAAGAAGGAAACGGAGCACATGGAGATAGATGACGTAGGCATTAGTGAGCTGAAATAAACTGGCATTGGCCATTCCTACCATGCCAGGAATGACAAATTCAAGAGGAATGGTGTTGCATTCATTGTCAAAAAGTACATTTCAGGATCTTGAAATAAAGTGTTGTCTGTGATAGGATGATATCTATCCAAATCCCAGGAAATCCAGTCAATACAACTATTACTCAAATTTATGCACCAATCAATAATGCAATTGATGAAGGAACTGAAGTATTTTACCAATGCCTTCAGTCTAAAATCTACCAAACATGCAATCAGGCTGCATTGATAATTATTGGGTATTGTGGTACAAAACTGGAAACAAGAAGGAACAGTGGTTGGAAGATACGGCCTTAGCTGGAGATCTCATGATGGACTCTTAGAAGAGCAATGGTTTCTTTTTTTTTTTTTTAAACATTTTATTAGGGGCTCATACAACTGTTATCCCAATCCATACACACATCAATTGTGTAAAGCG